TTGTTTGTGTGTGTAGTTTGGTGTGAGAGAAAATTGTAGAGAAAAGTGAAAGGTGTATATGTGTGTGTGCTTTCCCAGGTGGGTAAAGTGTTTTCCTCATTCGACCTACATCTTCCCATCCCTGACTGAAAAAGAAAAAAAAAACATAATAACAGAGAATATCCCTGCCTATTTATAGACTTAGGAGTGTCCTCTTGCAACCTCTTTTTTAGGAAAGTAAGCGAGGTTAACTCTACACTTTCATGGTAATTGCTTGGATGAACTTTGCTCTATGGTACCTAGACTTTATGAATTCAAGTGCAGTACTAGATTGGCAGCAAGGTCTCATCATTTTACAGTTAAAATAGCTACATGTAAGCATAAGTTCTATGTAAACAGTTTCTTCTTTTGTACTTCTTACCTGTGGAACTCTCTTCCAGGTTCTTGCTTTCCAGTTAAATTTGATCTTCAAAAAAGTTAAATGCAATGTCAGTCATTATTTTCTGTCTTCCTAGTTTCTGTTCTTTTGTTATTCTCACTCCTTGATAATATTTGTTATTCTTTCACGCTCAGTAACCCACTGTGTCTTAGTGGCTTTATTGCCTTGCTTGCAGTGAAATAATTAAAAAAAAACATCCTTGTGAATTAACTCTTGTAGCAATGAGAAATGCCATGAAGACCCCAGACAATCTGTCAGCCCATGGTCTAATTCTATTTGATTTGAATTTTTTTTAGAAAAGTCATGAATCCACCTTCCCTTAAAGTCAGGCCAGAGATTACAAATTGCAGCTAATACCATATAACCCAGTACAGATTGTGATATGTTATTTAGGGAGGAGATGGGCATTGTCAATTCACAATCACTGCCCTAGGAAATACCACAAAGGTCTCAACAGATGATTTTTGCTGATATCTATTTTTTTTAAATACCATGTCCCTTCAAGAGGTAAGTTGTCATGGCTCTCTACAATTTCCATTTCTTTAATAGCTTCCATGACTTCTTGGGAAAAATAGTGGTTTCCTGTTACCTTCTTCAAGGTTTAGAATGGCTGTCACCCAGGGTTATGAAGCCTAGTCTACCCAGCTATTTAACCCATGTGGAGCAGGGAAGAAGGAGAAGAAATGCATTCATGCCTTTCTAAAGGGAATTTATTTGAAAATAAATATAATAGACAAGGCAATGAATTTAAATTCAACTCATTCATTAGACTTTCAATAATATACTAATTACATATCCTTGATGATGTTGTGAGCAAAATAAATTAAAAATAAAAAAAGATAAAAATGAAATTGAATTAGTCATATTCAAACTTGAGAAGAAAAATAATTGTTCACTCAGCTAATTTCTTTTATAGAAAAAAGTTATATTGAAATTTTATATAGTTATATTTTATGATGTCATATTGAAATTTTATGCTGTGTAGTCAGTCAATATCTTTTGTAGAAAATGTCATATTGAAATTTTATATAGTCATATTTTATAATGTCATTGAAATTTTATATAGTCATATTTTATATCATATTGAAATTTTATATAGTCATATTTTATAATGATATATTGAAATTTTATATAGTCATATTTTATAAGGTCATTGAAATTTTATATAGTCATATTTTATAATGTTATATTGAAATTTTATATAGTCATATTTTATAATGTTATATTGAAATTTTATATGGTCATACTTTATAATATCATATTGAAATTTTATATAGTCATATTTTATAATGTCATCTTGAAATTTTATATAGTCATATTTTATAATGTTATATTGAAATTTTATATAGTCATATTTTTAAATGTTATATTGAAATTTTATATGGTCATACTTTATAATATCATCTTGAAATTTTCTATTGTTCTCTCAGTCAATCTCTTTTATAGAAAATGCCTTATTAAATTTTATATTTCATATCATTTTATTAGTTGATCTTTGTACTAAAATGGCATACTTTCAAAGCTTTTGATGAATGTCTATTTCTGGGTTAAAAATAGAATAAATTAACTTGTCCTTTATAAATCAACCCGGACTTTTAAGTGTTACTTTCATGACTTGGTGCCAAGTTAATATATATGCACTCATTTGCATAACAAAACCAACCAATCCTAGATTTATTCTTTCTTTTGTAGTCTCATGATACATTTTTGGCAGGTAAACTAAGGCAGAGAAATGTAATACATAAGTCATAGATCTTAAAGAAAATGCAATCAATTTTCCAAATTTAGACTTCCAGTACAGTAAGATTTTATCAGTTCCAGAGAATGTGTCAGTGGATATTAAATCTAATTAATGACTGCAAAAATATATCTGATTTCAGTCAGCTAACTTCTGGTATTTTAATAATTCTGGCAAATAACAACGAATCAATTTTTTAACCTTATGAACCCTAAGCCTCTTGTACAGATCTCAGCCCTTGCTGTACATCTCTTAAAGCCACATACTCAAAAAATGTACATTTTGCTCATGAAAACTTGTGTAGTTCATCCAACTTTAGGCAGCCTAGTATTACATAAGACATGCTGTGGTTGGTTGAAATTTCTTTGGTGACTCAGTATTAGATAAAAACATTCCATGAGTGGCTGAAATACCTAGGTCAAGTCGTGGCTGAAGTTCAAGGTTGTAAGACTATTGTGTTTGTAAACAAAATGCACATTATTCTGATCTCTATACCAGCTGTACAGACTTTCATGCAGTGGACTGGTTCTGAATACCGTTCTTTTATTGTCCTTTCTCCTCACTAAAGTCTTCTCTTTCACTACCAGTAACTTTTTGTATCTTAATGACACTATCACCTTGCTTTGGGTGAAATGATAAAGAAAAACGATTGATGAGTATAATAAATAGATAAAATATATAATTTAATTTAAAATATATAATCAAAATTTTAAATAATGTAACAATCAGTCTTATGCAATATAATAAATAGTTATTGAATGAATAAACCTATTATAATTGTACTTGTCCCACTCTCCATTAATTAGCACGACCATTACACCCTGCCAATACCCAATAAATAATGGACTGTTCCATCTTGATCACGTGGGAAGAGGAAAGACATTACTTGGTTTCAGGGCAAAAATGAATGAATGAATGGAGGGAGGGAGGAATTAATGAATTAATTAAAGTGAAATGTTGCCAATTTCCAGTCTTTCCATTTGTACCAGCATTCATATTTATGATTGCTAATGCAATATTTTGCTAAAGTTGTTGTTGTGGATTTCGGGATGAAATCCGGTACCAATAAATAACAAACACCAAGAATGAATATAGGAAAATAATGTATTAACGTAATAATACAAACTGGTAATGCAGGTTAGTAGTTCCAGGAATACGGGTTAGTAGCAAAATATCTATACAGTCTTTGGTATTGAAGTATCACTGTATGACTTCTTACTGAGTCTACGTGCTCGCTACGTTTGTTCAGTCTGTCTGTTACCTTCACCCTCGGTTGCTCTCGTCTTGTCTCTCGTCTCTCGGGTCTTCACGTAGCAGTAGTATATGTATATACTGGGTGAGTCCATTTGTGTAAAAAGGGGAGAACCCCTGAACAGTTCTTAAGTTCAAATATTTAACGATGTGATAGGTGAATTTCTACAGATATTTTATTATCATAGAACTCACCATATGCTTATTCTTTAATTAACTTAAGAATTAAGATTCATCAGAAAATTCAAATAGAGAAACTGAGAAATTGTCATCAGTCTTTCTAGTAGGTAAATAATTGTCAGTTTCTTTGTTTTTACTTTAAACTTTGTGTGTTTACTGCAGCTACCAACATTCACCATAACAGCGGAAATAGATGAAAGAAAAATATTGAAATATTTGCAATGGTAAAGCAGTTTGAATTAAATGAAGTTCACATAAAAAATAGTAATATTAGCTGTTTCCTTATAAGGAAACATTCAGCATTCACTGACCAAGCAGCCGTTACTGCTTTGGGTTAAAATTTATAAAATCTTTCTTTTAAAATAATTTTTCAGGAAAATAGATTAAACCTTCCTTTTTTCTTTTTTTTTTTTGTTGCTGAAACTGTCACCATAATATATTGGCTGGTCTGTTTTACAGACTTCCTCAAATGCACAAAGAAAGAGATTTAAATAAGAATGCTAATGGTAATAGTAAATTTAGCCATTTCCTTGAAACATTTACCATTCTTTGTCCGAGGAGGCATGGTGGAGTAATAGATAGCGGCTCGAATTGAGTAATTCATTTATATGCTGATGAATGCTTTTCTTCTCCCCACAACTATGGGTAAATAGCAAGACAAACTGGGTTCTATAGCCCTAGATGGCAACTGGTCTACTACAGAAAGAAATGGCAACCTACTGCAGCAACAAAATCTGCCTCGTCAGTCATGTGTCGAAAGATACATGATCACCTAAGTGTGTATCACACATGGTACATAACTGACTGACTGTCCAAGCAGACTGTACTGCCTTGGATTGAAATTTATAAAATTAAAACAATTTTTTTTAAAGTAAAATAGGTTTCTCATATCCAGTAGCTGTTATCATTCTTTCCAGTAATGATGGAGATTTCCTTCCTAACCTTTTGTTTGAAGTGGTGTGGAACATCAACATCTTGATTATATCATTATTTTTGATGTGCTATACATTTTAGCTGTTACTGCTGTTGGGAGTCCTCAAGTGATGTGGTCTATGTTATCTGGTACAATTGTTTGTTTCAAATTCTGTTTCACCAGTCCACGATGTTCGGCAAGACCCACAGGCCTCACTCGCTCAAAGGGTTAAAAAGATTTCTTTAGTCTTTATAACCAAAAATAATTTTAAAGAGTTAAGGCGGGTAATTAAATTTTGTTAGAAAATCACATTCTGTTAGGCATCTTTAAAACTTAGGGTTACTGACTGACATGATCAGGTTGATTGGTTTTTATTCCTAAGATTTGATCACTTTAATGTCAGCTGATATTTTGCTAAGGACACACCTGCTTTGACAATTACCCTGTGTAACAAAATTTTGACTTTTTGTTACCTTTGGTAAGTAAGTGTTATTTCTTAATTATAGATATGAACAGGCATAGATAGATAGATGTGAGCAAACTGAGATAGCTAGAGAGAGGAGCCAAGCAGACTGAGCTAGATAGAGAGAGAGATACAGAAATAGAGAGAACAGACTGAAATAGATAGAGAGAGGTGAGCAGATTAAGATAGCTAAACAGAGAGAGAGAGAGAGGTGAGCAGATTGAGATAGATATGAACAGACACAGATAGATAGATAGATAGATTTGATCATAATGAGATAGAGAGGGGGCAAGCAGACTGAGATAGAGAGAGAGAGAGGTACAGATAGAGAGAACAGACTGAGATAAAGTGTGAGAGGTGAGCAGATTAAGACAGCTAGAGAGAGGTGAGTAGATTGAGACAGAGAGATACATGATATGAAGAGACAGATAAATAGATATGAAGAGACATAGATAGATAGATAGATAGATAGATAGATAGATAGATAAAGGTAAGCAGACTGAGATAGAGAGAGAGATATATACAGAGAGAGAACAGACTGAGATAGAGATAAGCAGATTAAGATAGCTATAGAGAGAGAGGTGAGTAGATAGATAGATAGATAGATAGATGTGAGCAAACTGAAATAGATACAGAGGCGAGCAGACTGAGATAGATGGTGTGGGCAGGCTGAGATAGAGAGAGGTGAGCAATCTGGGATAGATAGATAGAGCGGGTGAGCAGACAGAAGTAGATAGAGAGAGATACAGAAATAGAGAGAACAGATTGAGATAGTTACAGGTCATCAGATTAAGATAGCTAGAGAGAGAGGAGAGTAGATAGATAGATAGATAGATAGATAGATAGATATGAACAGTAAAATAGATAGACTAATAGATAACACTGTAACAAAATGTCCTATTTTTGTCTTTGGTCAGTATTTCTTCCTAATTGCTTCTGTCTAGAAAGTAAAGGAAATGACTGTTATTCCCTTCGGACTTTGCTTCTGTGATCTGGACATCGATGTTTTGAAATTAGCCTATTTTCTATTACATTCCATATGGATTCAGTTGCTAAAAGAGAATTTTCTGGAACTTTCAAGATCTTTTAAGAAGTATCTAAAAGTTTCAAAGGTTTCTAAGACATTCTGGTTAGCAAGGATTGTATAATGAAAAATGATGGGAGACTATATTTGGGGGCTGATTTGTGAAATTAATTTACTGTATAAGCATAAATCGTGAAAAACTACTAACTTTTAAATTTTTTGTAGTCTCTCTTGTGTAACCCTAAAATGAATAAATACTACTTTTGAATAATATGTTATTTTGTTCCTAGTTTGCATGAATGAGAATGTTTACATTGGGCAGTTTTCCGAATGGAAATGGGTAAATTTCAGAAATATCATTATCCTGGATACAAAAGCAATGTTTAAAGGAAATATTTGCCATTTTTCATACATGCTAAGTGTAAGCAAATAGGAAATAATAATTGGTACCCAAGGACGAAAATCATCTTGCACAGTTCTGTCTTGGTAGAGAAAGTCAGCTTAGTGAAGTGAACCTCCTAAAAAACAGGTCAAACGATCCTGACAAAGAAGGTCACTAAGTGAAACCAGACTGAATTCTTGATGAACTACTTTTTTTTTTAGAGAGAGCTGACAAGACAAAGAACACTTTTCTCTATAAGACAGTGGTTCCTAGCAACAAAAGTCCCAGAGTGACCCAAAAAGAGCTAGAGAGAGACAAGAGTCTGCTTGGCATAATATGAAAAGAGAGACATGCCCATTAGACAATTCAGCACACCTCACCTCTGACTCATTTATCTGCAGCAGAGAGTTACAACCAGAATAAAATTTGACTGCTGCTACAATTTCATCTGTTGGGTTTATTTTGTGGTCAAACAGTTACTTTTTAAGCCAGAAGCATTTGAGCGGAAAAAGTTGCACCCTGAGAATGACCCTGGTTTCTGGACTGAGCTGCAGCACCATGTGTTTCAAATTACCTCAGATTTTATTGCATTTGATAACCTTAGAATGAGATGATCCTAAGTAACCTGGAAGACTTTATCATCAATGGATATAATATTAACCACAAGAGTATACAGATGACACTTTACTGATGGTAGACCCAGAGGGAATATTGAAAGGACTTTTAGATCAGATACTAAATGTATGTGAGAAGAATTGACTATTGACTACAAGAAGACAGAATTCATGATCATCTACAAAAGAGACAGCTCATAGTATGAGCTATGTATTGGGAATTGGCAGACACAATCTTAACAAATAATATATGCAGACGACTCAGTGTGGATAGCAGACATAGAGAGAAATCTGTAAGGACATTTACTGATAATAGTCAAGTGAAAAGTGAGCAAGAAAGATTTAAATATCAGTTGAAAGAAGATGGATAGAATGTACTTTTGTCAGCCAGAGAAAAATCGCAAGAAATGAACTGCAAGTTGGAGATACCAAAAATCAAGCAACTATGTAAATCTAAATATCTGCAAAGTGTTTTAACAGAGGGCAGAAAAGGCAACACTGAAATCTGAAGGCACATTGAGATAATGAAAGATGCATTTCAAAAGCTAAGCAAAGTATTAAGAAACAGAAAATTCCTGTTAAAAATAAAGAAGAGATTACTAAACTTATTTTGTAATATTGATCCTCCTATATGGCAGTGAATGCTGGACAATCTTCTCACAGATGAGGAAGGGGTGTGAAGCAGTAGAAATGGGGTTCTACAGAAGGATATTGAGAATATCATGGACCCAAAATATAAGCAACTACAAGGTTCTGGTGAAAATGAAAATAAAAAAGATACTAATACATCAAATCAGGAAATAGTTAAAATCCTAGGATGCATAATGAAGAAAGAGGGCTTGGTGAATTTAACACTCACAGGGCATTGAATGCAAGCGAGACAGAAGAAAGCAGCAAAAAACTATCAAATGGGTGGCAGAACAATGATTAAAAGTGTTACCAAGAAGATAAGTCTCACATAGAGCTACAAAGCACAGGAAGTTCTGGAGAGCTATGATCTCCATGTCCTAAATGACCATGGTACATAGAAGAAGGAGGACATATTGAAGTCAAGAGAAGCAAGACAAAACAGTGAGTAACATACTTAACTAGTTTGTATAAATAGATGGCAAAACATGGAAAAGGCAGGATGGTATAGAGCCAGAAGAACAGGAAATTGTGGAGAGCTATGATCTTCATATCTTAAAAGGTCTTAGCACTTAAAAGAAGACAAAAACCTTCTATAAAAACTTACATTTATCATGTTTGATGCAGGGATTAAACCTACATGCAGATAGCAAACCACTTTGGAATGCTACAATTTAAATTCAATATAAATAAATCTCTATCTATAAAAGGCAGGATGTTTGTGTGTGTGTGTGTGTGTGTGTGTGTAACGAATGCACGGTCGCAATTTTCGACAGATTTGCACCAAAATTTACATGCACATGCTCCAAGTTAGTAGAAAGGCCAAGACTAACTTTGCATTTCCCAACTCCCATCGATAGTGGAAATAATCGATTTTTTCATGCTTCTATGGCAGTTTTCATGTAGTTTGCGGCCATTTTCTACTGGTCAGCGTGAGAGCCTATAGCTTGCTGCCACGAATAGGCAGGAAGATTCTATTGGCCAGTGTGAGAGCCAACAGCTAACTGACATGAATGTTAACTAGCATGCTAGCATGCAATATAAATCAATAGCTGCATTTGTCACAAGTGGGAAAAATTTAAATCTGCATGGCACTTTACTCGAATTGGTTCATTCGCATGTTTAAACTCAATGTTGATTCTGATTCCGCAGAACTGGGTTGGGTGTGAAAAAGGATTTGTTGTTAACATTCTTTTTTCATTCGGTTTTTCCAGTTATGAGTCCTTTTTTTAAAGCTGATTGTTTTGTGTTCATTTTGTTTAGTTCTTTTTTCGTAACAGATTTAATGTTAAGTATAGAGCTTAGGAAAAATTCACAGTGTGAAATAGGCAAGAAGTAAGGCATGTAGCAACATCAGCACGGCAAAGGGTACTCCTTTAAAGGCAAGGAAGGGCAAAAATATTTTAAGTCAAGTGATAGCGATTGCTGTATGAGTCGTACAATTTTTTAATCAAGCACGGGCAACACCAAGCCATGCTGCTAGTATACATATATATTTTATGTGTGTTTTGAACAGTTTACCATATCTTGATTGCACTGAAAAAATTGTAACATAAATTTAATACATGTTATTAATATTTATGTTGACATTAAAGATTTTATATACACTTTAAAATACCTTTGGTGAAAGATATTCTCTTTCATGTTGATTTTTTCTTTTGTACAATAATAGTTTGGAGTATGTTGAGTCTTTCCTTACAGTGAGTGCAAATGTAGTATTTTGCAATTTTTTACTGATATGTCTTATGATAATAGTTGTATTTCAGTTTGTAAAACAAGTATAAATCCAATACAATCATTTTATTCAAAATGAATATTAAATATTTTATACACACTTTAAAGCACAATCTCCTGTACTGAAGGATTGATTTAATGCAGATTATTTTCTTTAGTATAATAATAGCTTAGAGTATTTTCAGTCTTTCCTTGCAATGAGTGCTATGTAGTATTTTGGTATTGTCTATTAATGTCTCATATGATTGTTGATACATTGCAGTTGGACCATGAAAAATCGGTCTCCGATCGCTTGGTTATGACTCATGTTTTCAGCTATTTTGAGCAGACGATAAAATTTGTAAAACTGTTTATTTCTATTAATTTGGTTTACATATTATTGTATATATTACTATATAAAATATATTGTAGAACAGGTATATTGACCTTGACTTGCATAAAGATATGTATGCTGTTGTCATACTGATTTTAAAACCCTAAGTCGGTACATAAGTCAGCAAAACATTGCCACCCCCTGGCTCAGAGTATATTAAGTCTTTCCTTGCAGTGAGTGCTATGTAGTATTTTGCTATTGTCTACTAATATGTCTTATGATAATATTTGTATTTCAGTTGTTTGTAAAGCAAGGAATTATACATGTATAAATCTGATCCAAT